GCAATCATAAAGAGTGTTGTCCAGGTCTGTCCAAAAAGTCAAATTGTCACTCACCATCGCAGAAAGGATGCAGAGAGGAGCAATGAAGATGATTAGGAGACTGGAGGCTAAAACATATGAAGAACGGTTACAGGAATTGGATATGTCTAGCTTGATGAAAAGAAGGACTATGGATGATATAATAGCTTCTAATATTTGAGGGGCTGCCTCAGAGAAGAGGGAGTCCAGCTATTCTCCAAAGCACCTGAAGGCAAGAAAAAGAAGCAATGGATGAAACTAATCAAGGAGAGAAGCAACCTAGAAATAAGATAAAATTTTCTAACAGAACAATTAATCAGTGGAATAGCTTGGCTTCAGAAGTTGTGGGTGCTCCATCACTGGAGGATTTTAAGAAGAGATTGGACAGTTACTTGTCTGGAGTGGAATAGGGTTTCCTGCTTGAGAAGATTGGACCAAGGTCTCTTTCCAACTCTGTTATTCTGTTAATAGAAGATTTGCCTTTTTGAATACTCCTCCTCCATAGATACCTTTGGCATCCTAATGTAATAATGTCCCTGGAAGGGATAGGCCTGCATTGGGGTCTAATAATTATCCCTTTTGGAGTTTTGCTGCAAACGTTGATGTGGTTGGGGAGATTGTGCGCTCTGAAAAGGATGAGAACTATGTCAGAGGTTCAATCATACTGGACAAGTCTCATCAGAGGAATCCCACAAAGAGCACCTTTCCTTTAAAAAAATATGATGAGATGTAAATTACCGCCACCTATACTCGCTCGGTTGTCACTCAGATCAACAAGCACTGCACTAAATGTTGGAATTCCTGGACCAGAATGGGACAACTTGCTGCATCAAACTCACTACAGTCAACTTGCCATGGGCAACTTACCACAGCCATGAGCCAACTCTCCGTGGCCAACTAGCTATGGGACAACTTGCCATGGCCAACTCTCTATGGAACAACTTGCCATGGGACAATTTAACAATTCAATTTAATTATTTAAAATAAATAAAACAATATTTTAATTTTTGCCTTTTCATTTTGTCCCTCCTTTCCTTAATGATTCTATTCCATCATTTCTTTGATATTAGTGTGACGCTTGTCCTGCAGCAAATTGTCCTGCGGTGAGTTGTCCATGGCAAGTTGGCTCTTTGCGAGATGGCCATACTGAGTTGGCTGTAGCAAGGTGGCTGTGGTGAATTGTCATAGACCCCATTCTGGACATCTGGTGAACAATGGACTGTAGGTGTCATGCCCCTGGTGGAATCTGATTCTGAGGGGGAGGTCAAGCAGCTGACAGGGAGGGGGAGTGTGGCTCCGGTGGCTGTGGAAGAAACTGGGGAAGGGCACAGTCCGGCTGGGCATTCAGAGGAAGACCCAGGCCCACCCTCTCTTCATCCTAGGGCACACAGGGAAGAATGGAGAAGGGAGCAACATGGCTTATGGGGGGCGAAAAGGGCCCTGATTCCCTTCATTAGCTGCAGCTGGGAAAACAGGATTTAAAAAGGGTGTTTGCACACAGCACCTTGCTGGAAGTAAAGTGTGAATTATCTTTGCTTGTCAAATCTTATCTGGGTTCTGGCATCCTCCCATCTGTGTGTGTTTCGTTATCTTTTGAAGTCTGCAATTCCTTATCCTGTCCTGTCTCGTTAATTGCGTGGTTTGTGTTGATTTTTATTTACAATTTATATGTACTTTGGGTTCAGACTTAATTTCTTCCCTTTAAAAACTGTTCTTGGGAGAGTTTTTTCTCCAGCCGATGATAACTGGACATTGGGGGCCAACTTTTACCTACTTTTGTCACTTTGTTGCTTTTGTGCCACGCCCCAGGTTATCACAGTAGGGCTCTGGATTGTTGGTTGAGCAACTAGGGCCAGCTACTGGAAGGAAAGGTGTTTACCCTTTGCATCTTACATCCTGCAACAATACCTTGTAACACCATGTAACATCCATATCTGCATATCCCAGGTCCTTGGGAAGAACTTGATTAGAGGATGAAAATCCCAAATCCAGTCTTACCACCTGGCTGGCTATGCAATGCATCATAAGAATCTGATGTCTTCATCTGATTTGAAAAGATATGTTACATTTGCCTACTTATTCCCATAAATGTCTTCTTCTTTAGACCTGCAGTAAGCAATAACGCCGTAGCTATTATCCGCCTGCCCATTTCTGGTTGCACCATTCCAGATGGGATCACGTGCAGTGTTTATGGATGGGGACACACAGGAAGTAAGTAATTCAAGTTTGGGACAGACCGTCTTTCCCCCAGATCCTAGTTTGTTTGTTGGACCCAGAAATCAGATCAAGACCTTGTCTGAAATCTACAAGAGCTGCCTAGAATGATTTTTCTTCTGATCACATAAGACTTTCGCGATGAAATATGTGCGATCATTCTTTGAACTAACTTTGGGTTTGATCGGGCCAGGGTAAATGATGTGTTCATTTGTACAGCAGGTGACAAGGTAGGTTGGCTTGGTTGCTCAACATTGTGACACTGGTGAAGTGGGCATAGCAGCACCTGCATTTTCTCTGTCATGTGAGAAAAGTATATCTTTTTTTAGAATTTTTTTTTTAATTTTGACAACAAACATTGACAAATACAAACATAAAACATCAAATAAAACCATCTTTCCATTGTATAGTGTATCGGTTGGTACATATCTTTTGTGCAGATATCAACAGTTTCTGAGTTTAAATTAAAATTCATATTATATAGATCAACTATGCATAATATATTATATTATTATCAAATCATTATTAGGGTCATTATGGGGTCATTATTATTACAAATTCACGTCATCCTTTTCAAGCAAATCTCAACTTTTACAAAGCCTAGTTCATAATATCATTCATTTCATTGTGATCAATTGTAACATATCATTACATTGTCTTATCTTTACTATTATGTTATATTTATATTATAATGTATCTTTTTTTGTATTTTCTTATCTAGCCATTGATAAAATAAATCCCATATCTAATAATATTCTTAATCTTCTTGCTCTCTAATTTCTAATGTCCATTTACTCATTTCTGCACATTCTATTATTTTCTTAATCACTTCCTCTTCTATCAGAATTTTTTCACTTGAGAAAAGTACATCTTGAGTGGTGCGGTAGCCTAGAGGTGAAGCTGTCGCCTAACAATCAGGAGGCTGTGAGTTCGATCCTAAGTGGAGGCAGATATTTCTCTCTCTGGGCACAATGAGAATGTATCTGCTGAACAAAACTCCATATTGGTGACAGGAAGGGAATCCGGCCAATAAACACTCAGCTCCATTCTGTTGCCCAGACTCCACTCCGCAAGGGATTATGGGGTCATTAAAAGATGAAAAGGGGGAGGAAGAGGATGATGATGATGATGATGATGATAAAAGTACATCTTCCTTCCTTCTCCTGTACTTACCACTTTCTGTAGAGAGACAATCGAGAGCATCCTGTCACATTGCATTACTGTCTAGTTTGGAAGCATTACTGCTTCAGACAGGAAGGCGGTGCAGAGAGTGGTGAGGACAGCAGAAAATATTATTGGGAGTTCACTTCCTTCTATCCAAGGCATGGCGTATAAGGGATGCTTGAGCAGGGTCCACAGGATTGTCTGGGATGCTGCACATCTTTTTCATGACCTCTTTTCCTTGTTACCTTCTGGGAGGGGGATTTGTGGTATCTGAAGCAGAACATCCAGATTCAGCCATAGTTTCATTCCATATAGTGTCAAGCTTGTGAACTCTCAAATTCCCTCTTTCTGCTATGTATTCAAAATGGACAGTGATACACACAGAGAGAGACATAATATGTGTAAAGGCGTGCGTGTGTGTGTGTGTGTGTGTGTGTGTGTGTAGCAAGTGTATATGTCTGTAATGTATGTATATGGGTAGATATATGCTTCCTTTTGAGAGCAGGCAACAGAATTTCATTTTTAATGTGGGCCAGTGTGCTCAGAGTCAAAAAATGACAATAGAACTTGCCTTGCCTTGTCATGGATGGGAGTAGGGTGTGCATAAGAGAAAGTATTATCTTTTGGGACATTGATAGATCATCATGGCTAATTTCTTTCTCTGTGGTCTCTAAGAGTTGACCATGATTTGATAGCCCCAAATCAATCAATCAATGAGATGGAGTAAAGAACAGTTATTTCTCTTCAAAATTACAGCAAGAAATTTTGATGGGCAACTTCAGGAAGCAAATATGATCATGATGGGGAACGAACGCTGCATTCAAGATTTTGGAGGAAACGTAGTCCTGAAGGAATCCGAAATGTGCGCTCGAGCTGAGAGCATCGGCAGTGGAACTTGTGAGGTACAATAGCAATAGCACTTAGACTTATATACCACTTCACTCTGCTTTACAGCCCCTCTCTAAGCGGTTTACAAAGTCAGCATATTGTCCCCAACAATCTGAGTTCTCATTTTACTGACTTCAGAAGGATGGAAAGCTGAATCAACCTTGAGTTAGCAAGATTCAAACTGCCAAATCACTGGCAGTCAGCAGTCAGCAAAAGTAGCCTGCAATACTCTATTCTCCATTGTGCCACTACAGCTCATAGAATAGAATAGAATAGAATAGAATAGAATAGAATAGAATAGAATAGAATAGAATGGAATGGAATGGAATGGAATGGAATGGAATGGAATATAGAATAGAATAGAATAGAATAGAATAGAATAGAATAGAATAGAATAGAAAATATGGAATAGAATAGAATAGAATAGAATAGAATAGACTCTATTGAGAATAGAATAGAATAAGAATAATAGAATAAGAATAAGAATAAGAATAAGAATGGAATGGAATGGAATATAAAATAGAATAGAATAGAATAGAATAGAATAGAATAGAATAGAAT